ATTCAGCGTTTTCAGTAGAATCGTTCGGTCGCGGGTCAGACTCAGCCGTGTCGGCCGAGCCACGTTACGCAAGAGAAGTTCCGTGGAAACGAGAGTTTCCTCCGGAGATATCCAACGATCGGTAGACCGCAACCGACCATCGAAAACCTGTGAAAATCGTCCTGATATACCGTTGGGACGACGACTCTACTTGTCCTCGCTTTGCATCCTCGACGACGAGGAAATTCCCGAATCTCGATGCTGGTTTTCAATGTTGCTTTATGAATTTCCTATACATTCGTACACATTTACACATACGTTTATACTTTTTTTAATTCATTGTACGTTGTATTTTCTATTTGTTTTTTTTTATATTTCATGCTCTCCGTTGTATAATATTTCTATATTTCAATTGTTTTTAAACATTAACCAGCAGAAAGGTTGTTCAGATTTCGGCTTATTTTCCAAACAGAATATTGCTGAAAAATATAAATTCAGTGTGCTTGGATTGTATTTGAATTTATATTTAATCGATCTCGAACACGTAGGTACAATAGAAATTTTTCCATTTTTTGCTGGGTGCTCGCGATTATTCTCGCGGATCATTGAAATCATTCGTACGACAAATGAAAGAAAATATTGTTGCAATTAACGAACGAGCTGTTATTGTACGTACGTAATGATGGTTATGAGGATGAGAATTTGAATTTCACTCGCGATCTCGCAAGCGTTTCCTTACATCCCTTTTGCTGTCTCACGAAACACCGCAATTTCACGTCAGCGGCTGCGAACGCGTTACCACGTTCCCGCAGAAACCGCCAACAACCTACCCACCGATTCCAAAAAGAATATTCACCATTCCCCAGGCAACCGAATCGCCGACATCCTTCTTGCTAAACTTGCAAACAGTGTTCTATCAAAAACACGTTCATCCTCCAACCTTCCTAGCAAACCGTCTTCAACCTCTCGCTTCGAACTTCGCCGATCTGACGAAGGAGTAATTGAACTTTACGAAACGAAGAATTTCTCGATGCATGGGATTCTACGAACGACTTAAGAAATATATTTATCGCAGATTTTTTCAAATTTTCTTCTCCGTTTAAACTTTGTGCGACTGCCACGTTGAATCAATTTAAAGAAGGACTTGGATGAAAGCAAAGGCACATCTACAAATATAATGAGTGCAAATAATTGTGTGAAGCTTTGTTATTTAGAGCTGACAAAGCCTCGAGAAGTCTGCGCAGCTCTCTCAATCTTTTCAAACTTCTCTACTCAGAACGTAGTCGAACATCGATCAAAACATGCAAGTTCAATCATTCGAACCTCGCAAAAGCTTGAAAACTACACTAGAATAGAAATATCTTTATCAAACGGGTTTCAAGTTTTATCAACCTTCTGAAACTTCTCTCACAGCACAGATCAAGACATTCAAACTCGTTCGATGGAAGAATCTAAATAATAAAAGACAATTCAAATGTAATAATGATTGAAATACAACGAAACGTCGAAACTTGAAAAGTATGAGAAACTTTATCGAGCAACTGTTTTCAACTGCTCTCGAATTTCACAAACAGCTCTCGACCGAACAAAACGTCCAAACTGAAGCAATCGTAGAACTCGAAGAATAACTGCATCAAACGAATCGTTTGTATCTTTTGAAATTTCACAAAATCCGCCGAACAACGAACAAAAGGATTCAACGAATTCTAAGGATAAAGATATTGCATGAACAACGAGTAGAGGGGATTGCAATGCTATGGAATCTTATTCTGTCAGAATAAAATTACATTTAAGATTTAATATTCATCGACAAGAAAAACCATTTCATTTCTTATAAACTATATTATTTAGAACGCAATGTTTGGCTCTTGCGTCAATTTGATACATTTTCTTCGCCAAATCCATAGGATCACGACATACAATTGAAAACAGCTGTATACCTGAAAGTAAATCATGCGAAATTAAATAGAAATTTAAATTTTCTATCTTTTCATTCGCAGATATGAACTCTTTCCGCCATTGTTGTCAATTTGACAGAAAAATGAAAAAGATTAATAATTTCAAGAAACCAAACTCACTCTTTCACTTTCACCCTCGCTCCATCAAACTTGGCCCGATCTTCTCTCTGTCCAAACTTCCCCCATACTCGAAACTCGAAAAACCAAGCATGTACGAGAATACAAACAACTGGACGAACCACGTTTTCGGTATCACTAAATCCTTCGATTTGTTCTTCACCGATTCACCGAACGATCAGCAGCGACTGATCCGGAAGCTTTGCTTGCGAGCACGCGGCCAGCCGGAAGAGCACGGAGAGAAGGGACGGAAGGGAACGTTCGCGAGCCGAGTACCACGCCGTACTGAACGTTCGCCACGGGTGCAATAGTTTTGACACGCCGGCGGCTACGTTCGCTCGTACGGCGACGCGACAACCGTTCACCGCGCATGTGCCGATATAATCCACGCTTCTATGCGGCCCCACACGCGCAACCCATTACACGTGGAAACTAGAGATGGGATCGAGTACCTCACAACCACGGGTTCGAACCTTTGATCCTTCGATTCGAACAATCTTTCAACGCTGGCACTACCTCGTTTAAACTCGAGCGAGATAATTTCGAACAGTGTTTCGTTAGTGCTGGAAGTATACTCGATTTTTTAAAAGGGGATTTAAATTTTTTTATTGGACGTATATGTTTCTGTTTCTCTATACGCGACTTTCAAATGTCGCGTCGAATGCGCAGAAGTCTACTACGCAGGTGTCTAGTGCGCAGAAGTCTACTGCGCAGGTATCTAGTGCGCAGAAGTCTAACGCGCAGGTATCTAATGCGCAGAAGGCTACTGCGCATGCAACTGACGTTTATGAGGATCCTATCTTTAAATTGATGTAATAAAGAACAAGTGTTGCATCCTTTTTTCTATCTTCCATTTTACTAAAATTACTTCGCACACATATACGCTACGGTTTCGATTACTTGTGAAATTTTAAAATTTCGCTGAACGAAAGTACGTTTCTCTATACGCGATTTTTCAAATGTCGCGTCGAATACGCAGAAATCTACTGCGCATGCAACTGGTGTTTATGAGAGACCCTGTCTTTAAATTAATATAATAAAGAACAAGTGTTGCATCTTTTCTTCTTTCATTTTACTAAAATCACTTCGCGCACACACACACACACACACACACACACACACACACACACACACGCTACAATTTCGATTACTTGCGAAATTTCAAATCTCACTCATAGTATCAAGCCAAGTTTGTGGTTAAGTTTTAAGTTAGATTTAGCTACTGTTTCAAACTAAATGAATACATCGCAAGTACACTTGTCGGAACATTTTCACTTTCGGGCAGTAATCCACGAAATGGAACTTCGATACTGAACTTGGCTCGTAGGATTCGTAGGTACATATTGGGCTTGATCCCATCCCTAGTGATAACGTCCGAGCGAACGTACGCCGGTGGTGATCGAGAGGGGTTGGTCTCGCTTGGCCCGAGGGTGTTTTGACTCGCGAGCTTCGTCCAGTCGAGCCCGGTTTTCTTCTCCAAGGATCTACAAGCGACGGGGTAACACGCACAGAGGGTGTCCGCCGCGATCCGTGAAGTGACGATCGATGAACAAGTGGCGAGGGAAGGGTGGAAGGTCTAGGATTCTTAGATGGAATTGATTGTTCGGAGTTTGGTTCTTTTTGGTACGACGTGATGGAAGATTCGGAAATACAGTCTAAAAGTTTGTAGCGCCTTTTAATCGCATTACACAGATACAAAAACACTGTGTGATTACAACTTATAATAACTTAAACAGTTAGTAACAGTTTATAAACGATTATCAGAATAAGGCTAGAATAAGATGCTATCAAAATTGACAGGGTGCTTCAGACACCTTGAATAATGTCCAGGCTGCTTGATTGTTTGAAATGATACAGCACTGGTGTTTTGGAGTCTCTGTTCGCGTTACAATTAGCGATTAGAATGGAAATTATACCGTAGGGGCGAGTAACGAGATTACCATAATTGAACATACTAAAAACTGCATGCTAGGGGGAGGGCGTTACGACTCGGATTAGACAGTAGGACCAAGTTAGATCATTGAAATTAGACGTTGGGGACGATTATGTATCAGCTGTATAGTTTAGCACCCAGGCTATGTACTAGAACGCATAATTATTCCCAGAATCAGTACTAGATTCTAAGGTTGAACTAATCTCAAATTGCAGAGTGGATCTGGATCTAGAACGACGAACTGGGACTAATTATTGTCTGCACAGGTACGTACATAAATTGAACACTGAGATTTGAGTCAGATCCAAACTACACGGCACTATAAAAATAGAATCACAGTCTTAAATACCGTGACGACACACGTGTTTAAACTCTTGTGCATCGACAAATCAAACAAAGTCTGGATATTCGGCGGGTCGGCAGATAAAATCGATGATGTTGTTTCACAATTCAGCTTCTCATCCTCGTAGAGATGTTATTCATCTGGATCAATATCGAAGTAAAATCTCGACGACGAGGAATCCGAGAAATTTTCTTCCAACGAGAGAGGTTATTGAAGCGAATCAACAAGTTACTCGTAACGCCATTTCGTCTGGTTCAAGCAGAATTCTAGTCGTTCTCACGACTGATCAGTCTCGATCGGAATTTATCATTAAACTGAGAAAGACAGAGGGGAGGGAAGGAGATTTCGTCGTAAGAGGAAGTCAGTGGGAACTAAGTTGGCGATAGTATTCAGTCTTCAAGTTCTCACTGTCTTCTTGCCCTTTCAATCAATGTAATTGCCATTCGATGAAGTTTCGATATGAGCTAACACTGACGATGATAATACTTCGCGATACTTTCTTCCTCGAACGCTTTAAACTGCATTTGCAATTTTGTAAAACAAAAACCACATGCCAATTCACTTGGATTCATTCGTGAAATAGTTTCACCTTTGACAGTTTTTGACTAGGTTTTTTCTTTTTTTTTTTTTTTTTTTCAAAATATTTATACACCATGCAGTGAGTGAGAAGATAAGGATACTTTCATTGAGGATAAAAGGTCTTGAAGATCGAAGTTTTGCAACGATCGCTTGAAACTTTTTAGGATTCATAAAAAATTTAGAATCTTGTGTAGTTTTTTCTTTTTTTTTTTTTCAACTTCCATCAGATCGTTCGCAGTTTTGCGCAATTTTTTCAATAATTCTGAGTAATTCTCCACGGTTTCACGGTACCTCTGCGAAGTTTTCTTAAGTTTCGCGCAGCTTCTTCACACTTTCACTGCGATATCATATTGTTATAAAAAGCTGCTGCTCTACATTGCCCTAAGATATTTCCTGAATTTGGAACATCGAGAACATAAAATTCCAAAACGTGAAAATTTCATCGTCCAACCACCAATATTCAAAGTTCAATAAAAAAAAAAAAAGAACGATTTGTGGAAAGAAGGGAAATCGTTTTTCAGGAAGGAAAATTTCAAATTCTCAAAACCAAGTGGATCTAGAACATAGGAAAAATTTTTTGTTTACCCTTCGAATTATATACGAATATGCAACATGTGCACGTTTCTCTTCAAAAGTGACAATTTTGATTCAGAGATGCGTCCCACGAGATACATACGTATTAGAGAGTATGTAAAATGACAGAATGATACAAAGACGATCGCGGAATGATAGAATGACAGACGATACTCGAACAGTAGGATACGCCTATGTAGGATAGAAATGATAGAATGACAGTAGAATAGAGAACAGAGGCATAGAATATCAGAGGATGAAACAGAGTAGATGATAGGCAAGTATTATACATTTCTGGTGATGTGATTCTAGGAAGCGAAGGCAGAAATGCAGAAAAGTAAATAAATATTATATACATATTAATATACACATATTATGTATATCATGTATTCTATTATATATTACACAATATAGTTTCAAATATTTATATTATCCATTACATTACATTATGTATGTCATATATTAATCCAGGATCAAAGCAATAATTTCTATAAACTGTTATTCACACAAATTTGTTAAAAAAATATTTGTTACTCGTAGATTTGTTAAGAATTGCTATTAAAAAATTGATAAAATTGCAGAATTTAGGCGAACTATTTGGGACAAAGATTCCTTCTCTTTACTCCTAAATTTTGGCTTGAATTTCAAAAATGTTTTTTCATTGTGTTCTATTCATCACAGAGGTAAAACTTTCCCAAGAAACTATAACTCGCAATCTAATAATTCTTTTTAAAAATGGTAAAAATATTTCTGAATCATTTGACTTTACAGTGTCCTAACAGCGACTTTATGCTTCTGGATACTAATTACAAACAACGTTATATTTATATTACGAATAATGCTGACTTACACTGATGCTACAACTACGATGAATCAAATATTAGTGAAAGCCAATACGAAAATTAGATGAAATAGGCATCCACGCGTCCAGAATCATAAAGTCGCTGTTAGAACGCACGCGTCCGCAATGTTAAATGACCAAGAAACTTTGTTGCCATTTTTCAGAAGAGCTGTTAGCTTGTAATAGTTGTAACTTGGAAAAAGGACGAGTAGAATACAATGCGAAAAAGAAAAACGAAGAAACTTTAATCTTGAAATCCAATCCAAAGTCAAAGTCGATTTTTCTTTCGACGTATTTCCATCAGATCAAAGGTGAAGACAAACTTTCCTTTCCACCCTGTACATTCATTCATCTTGCCAGTTAAAATTCAACTTCTCCGAAAATTGTATAAATTCTGTTTTCGCTAAATTATTGTCAATCATCAGAATATTTCCGCGAGGCGGAACAGTTCCACAGGTTCCACGCATTTTCCACGGTCGTGCGATACTCTCGAAAATCTGACAGCGGACACGACGTGATTCAACCGTCGCGAGAAAAATAAGAAGAAGAAGAAGTGAGATAAGTTGGGCGGGAAATTGCATTACCGCATAATTGGATGCCGGATGTTTATGCGAGGAATTATATCGGCATGGAATCCGGTGCTCCGCGACCATTATTGCTCGATTCACGTCGATATTGCTTTCAGCAAGCCGCGGTGCGACTGTCATCCGCCATTACGAAACGATCTTCTCGCAAACTCGCCATTATTTCGCGATATAATGGAAGCTGTAGCTTGGTTCTACTTTCCGTAGCCATTACACGTAAGAATAATGATTAATACCATAT